TAAAATTTGGCTTGAGTCTCAGAGGAGATTTTGGACACAGACTTTTTGGAAATGCTGGAACTATTAAGATTTGATGACTTAAAATGGACTAAGTATATTTTGCATAGTAAGATGAATGTGACTATTTTAGGGGGTCAGGGTTGGAAGATTATTATTTAGACCTAAAGTGTTCCTCAGAATTCTCATGTGTTTGAAAAGTTACTGGGTCATGGGGGCCTATACCAATCAGTGGATTCGTCCATTGAGAAGTTCAGTGACTGAATATGTTGATAGTAGGTAGGGCCTGGTTGGAGGTGAGTCAGGTTTGGGGTTTGGTCTGGAAGGGTGTGTCCTTTTCTCTCCCTTCTTTCTTGCTTCCTGGAGGCCTGTGGGTGAGAAGCGGTTCATCTGTCAGGCCCTTCCACCATGCCATTTCTGTTTGAAGCCAGCCAACTTTAGATTGATCCTACTGGAAACCATGAGCCAATAAACCTCTCATCCTTTAAGTTTCAAATGTCACATATTTATCCCAGCGATGGGGAAATCTGAGTAGTATGCATATCATACAAATAAATTTTCCATCATAATACAAACTATCTGTACATACTAAAAAAATGTGCATCTACTCTGTTCAAACAAGTTCAGAATTCAGTCTATCAGAGTGAATAAAAATATCTAGAGAGCTCTACAAAGTATGGTCTCTACCTAGTGATAGGTACTTTGAATTGGAGTTGATATATCAGCAGAAAGACAATTAGCCAAAGTTCTGGGATAATATTGTCCTATACTCATCAGGGATGAAAGCTGAATTGATTTTCTAAGAACTTAAAAAATACTAGGCGAACCAGCTTCTGTTATTGTACTGTGAGAGGAACTCAAGACTGCTTCTTTCTGAGCCCTCTTCCATGACAGGCTAGCAAGTGGCCAGATGTGAGACATGCAGGAGCCCTCATGTTGTTGAGTGCGTCAGGCTGAGGAACCATTGAAGCGCTCTGTGTGCTTGAGGATTTTTATTCCAGCAAGGTTGCTGTGAAGGCACTTGTCTATACAGCAGCAGAAAAGAAAAAAACTGCCTATTAAAAGTATTCTTTACTTCCTATAATTTTACTGAGTAGTAAATTACTATTTAGCTATGTTTTGGTGAAACAACAAAAATAACTTTTAGGGGGCCATTCTAAAGGTAAACATTTGAATCTGTACTTTATTCTTCGGGAATATGATTCAATTCTTGTTTCATTGTTTAGCAGTTTCTTTCTCAATCGTCATTTCATATTGATAAACAGCTTTCAAAATACACCATAACTTCTATGCCTAGAAAATTCCGTGAAAGATGAAATAATATTCTCTTACAAATGAGACTGCAAATTCCAAATGTTTTGCCAATTTCTACTAAAAACAATATAATTTATTCTAATAGTCTATAAACAGTTCCCCCATGACTATATAACCTCCTTCATTATAAAGGCTTTGTTACTAGCAAGTTCCTACTTTCAACCCTTAGCAGATGATTATAGCCATCAATGATTTATAGACTTTGTTTTATTTTGTTGAATTTTACACTAGGTAGATAAATATTTATTTGCTTTATAATTTCAAAACTAATTATATATATATATATATATATACACACACACACACACACACACACACATTGCAATTTTTCTTTTTTGTCTATTTAACTTAGAATAATTGCTATCATTAACTTTTTTCTACTTCATATTTAATATTATATGGGGCATAGATGGCAAATGCAATTCCTCAGTTAGATGCAGAATCACTACATAGCAGATAAAACTCTGACAAACAAGGCCATATACTTTAAAAATGATCTTTAAGATAAGAACTATTTTCTCAAAAGTAGCTTAAGGGAAATGATTTTCATAGTTCTAAATCTTAAAGCATCACCAGCAAATACATGCAACTTGACACATTTTCTGTAGATATAGAGTTTTATAACTGTTAGTCTGAAAAGTCACCTCATCAACAGTGGTGACAAGGCAAACCATAAATGAACTATTTTTGTTTTTTATTGGCATTTATTTGTAATATATGATATCTACATTTATTTTACCTAATAGAATATATTATCTAATTTTTAATTCCTTCCCTACTTTCCCTCTCTCATTTTTCCTGACCACAAGTGAAATCCTTTTTTTTGAGACAAGATCTCACTATGTAGTTGAGACTGACCTGGAATTCACTGTATAGCCCAGCTAGTCTCGGACTCACAGCAATCCTCCTGCCTCGGCCTCCTGAGTGCTGGGATTGCAAGCATGTGCCACCATGCCCAGCCACAAGTGAAATTTTGATGCAAATATTATATATAATTTAAGTATGAAATGAGTGATTTAATTAGTGAATTTGAGAGTCACGTCTATCCCTGAAAATTTGTGCCATTAGATTTAAAAATAGAAATTAATTTAAGGACCTGTTGAGCTTACTTGACCTGTGACTCTAGAAGAGCTTTTCGTACAAATACAGATTGACTATCCCTTGCCCAAAATTCTTGAGACCAGAAAATTTTTCCAGCTTTGGGAATTAGAAATGTTTTCATATGCATGAGATGTCTTGGGAATAGGACCCAAGTCTAAACACAAATTCATTAAAGTTTCATGTGCACTGCACACATACATATAGGCTGAAGGTAATTTCATACAGTATTTTTTGTTCACCAGAGTTCTGACTGTGACATTTCATGTGAGGCCATTATGAAATTTTCCATTTGTGGCATTGTGTTGGAACTCAAAAAGTCTTTTATTGGTAGCATTTTAGATTGCAGATTTTTATATTAGAGACTCAAGCTACCTAATTTCTTTCAGATATCCATTATAAAGGAATTGTGTGATAATCTGATAATATAAAAGCATCATTACATTTAATTTATTCCCACCACCAGCATTTTGTGGTCTGTTCTTTACACGTGTAGGAAAAATGAATCATTCTGTTCTGAGGTAAGGGCCAAGCCTACATGAAAGTCCCCCACTAGTCTTTCAGAATGCCTCTGCAGATCTACTTGCATTACGTAGAAGTCTAGGAACCAAAGCTCAGGCCTGCATATGATTCTTAGATGTGGCATATCTTTCACGCCTCCCTGAGTCTCAGTGCATTTTTGTGAGCAGATTATCTTAAAATCTATCTCACAATCACTATATAATTCATACTATATAACTTTTAAAAAATCAGTTCTTTATCAATGAAAAAAATTTTAATTTCATTTCTTAAAATTGACTCGGCTTCTGTTATAGCTACGGGGGGAACCACTGATGTAAAGATCAAAGTATTTCATTTCAGGATGAAATATTTCAAACTTTAAAAAGCAGTCAATTTATTCTTTTTCTTTCACCCACAGGTCTACCCACAAATAGTGCCGTCATTCTGGCACCACCTGCGGGTAGAAGTGAGTGGCGGGTACTTGAATTCCCCCAACGTCCCCTCGCACTGTGCTGGTGTGGTCTGATCTCATGTGCCCATTTTGCTCAAGGTGTAGCTATCATTCTGTGTAAACGTGCTCTCATGCCACCACTATTCTTTAGAGTTGGGTGAGAAATCTATGAGGTGTGATTAGAATATACAAAATGTTCAAATTCTTAAAAATGTATTTCAGTAAGAGACACATTGCCATTAATCCCCTTCAAACGTTCCCCCTCACTTTGAACACAGTTGTCCTATAGTTTTTGCCACTTTCTGAAGCAGTTCTGGAAGTTTTCTTTCATGACTGTCATTAGAAGGTGTAATAAAAAACACACTGAATGTTTAAGTGCTGTCCAGTGGAAAGGAAGAAGCACAGAACATTAAGATGTATCTTCAATACCTCAGAGAGCTTGGACTGGAGGTTCCATTTGACCCAGCCATCCCTCTGCTGGGTATCTTTCCAAGAGAACTAAAAGAATCATATCACAGAGAAGTATGTGCACCCATGTTTATAGCAGCACAGTCTGTAATAGCTAAATCTTGAAAACAGCCTATTTTCCCATCCGTTGGAAACTGGATAAAGAAGATGTGGTTTTTCTATAAAATGGAATATTACTCAGCCATAAAGAATGAGAACATAGATTCATTCATAGGAAAATGGATACATATTGAAGATATACTCGTAAGCGAAATAAGTAAGTCACACATGTGTAAATACCGAATAGTTTCCCTGGTGTGAATAATCTATAACAATGCATAAGATTCTAATAAGATTACTGACATTTAGAAATGGGAAGAAAGGAGCTAAAGGTGTAGGGAAGGTGGGATGGGTAGGGGAACAGTGAAAAGGGAAAAGAAAAAAATGTGAGAGAATGAAAAGATGAAAATAAAGTGTTTGTAGATGGGGAGGTGAGGAGGGGGTGAAGGGAGGGCAGAGGTAAGGGGAAAAAATGAGAATCAAGACTTGTCATGTAGAGGTACAAGATCCCAACAATGAATGTAACTGTACTGTATCCCTAAAATGTACCAATAAACTCAATTAAAGCTGAAAAAAAAAAGATGCATCTTCATCTACCTTATTCATCAGATCTGGCACCTCGGGACTTCTGACTCTTCCCCCAAATCAAAATGACCATGAAACACGAATTTTTTAAATTGATGCAGGACATCCAGGCACCCATAATAAAGCAACTAAAGACACAAAAGAAGACTTCCAGAACTGTTTCACAAAGTGACAAGAAGGATGGGATAAGTGTGTCCAAGTAAGGGGGAGTATCTTGAAAGGCATTGATGGCAATGTGTCTTTTACTATAATAATTTATAAGTGTTCACCAAGTGTTTGATCATACCATATAAATCACCAACAGTAGAAGGGTAGATCACTTTAAGAATAATCATCTTCCCTCACAAATTTCCAAACCAGGATCATATCACATACATTACAGTGATAAGCAACTAAGTGCTACACTATGGAAAGACGTGCTTATATTTCTTTTTAATCAATACTTTTGATATTCAGAGCGTAATTCCTCAGCTTAACCTTGGAATGTCTCTAGGCAAAGATAGGGTCACACTGCTTCATTTCCTTTCTCCTCTTTTCTGTCCCCCAGGAGCATGATCAGCTCACCTATTCCTCCACAAGGTCCAAGGCCCCCAGTGTCATCATCACGGGTCTCAAGCCAGCCACCAAATACATATTTCATATCCGAGTGAGGACTGCAACAGGATACAGTGGCTACAGTCAGAAGTTTGAATTTGAAACAGGAGATGAAAGTAAGTTTTGCACAAGGATATAAAGTAAAATATAATTTAGGACAATTCCAATTTGACCCGATGTTTTAAAGCCAGGTTTCCCAAAATTTTAATAGCCTCTCCAAATGGGGTTCAGTTCATGTAAAGACACCATCATTTCAGTTAATGTTTTGGTTCTATCATTAAATGCTTTCCTGAAATAAATGCCTCGCTCTACCATCATCGTAATGTGGCCTAAATATGTCCCTTTATGCAGAATTCATCACTCAAACTCTTTCAGGATGGTGTTGACATAGTTTTTAGTCACCACTCCTGGAATCCTACTATAACTCTAATGAAACTTGGAAGAGAATAAAGCCATGAATGAATGATTTTAGCAATTAATTCAAAATTGTATAGTTTGTGCTTGTTACCTTAGATCAATAGAAACAGTGAAAAAGAGACACACTCCACTGAGATGCACATTATAAGTTTAAATATAGATGCACAGGCTTAACTAGAAACACATTAATTTCACAACCTCATACATACTTAAAACCAAAACAGGAGATAAGTCGAGTGAGGTGTTCCAATATGAAGTAATACAGGATTTAAAATCTTTTACTCATTCCAAGTCCAGCTCTACCTTTAAATTCTTTTTGGTTTTGAAAAATCCATTTTTTCTGCTATGTTTTATAAGGGTAAAGTAGGTTAATCTTTCTATGTAACTCTACAAAATTAAAATTTCATCACTAAAATGTAACATTGCTATAACAATTCAGGCATGGAAATTTATTGTACTTTCTTATGGGTAACAATAGCTACCATTTATCGGGTCCTTAATAAATGCCTGAAATAATACGAACTATTTTACATGAAACATCTCATTCAAACTTTTCAACATTCAAGCCACATATTGTTTTCCTAATTTTACTCATAAGGAGGCTGAAAAGTTAAGCAATTTGTTCAAATTCATAGAGCTGGTAAGAAGCTAAGCTAAAGTTTGAAAGTGAGGAATATCTTCTTCTAAGACCTTGTCTCTGAGCGATTCCACCACCCATCTCAGTTCTTTATTACAAAGTGCCAAGCATACAGCCATCAAATAGGCTACAGTTTCTCCAATTTCTTTTTCTTTTCTGGCAGGGATACTGCTTAGATTTCAAATCTTATAATAGAAAAAAAAATTTTTCTTTTTCTTTTTCTTTTTTTTTTTTTTTGGTATTGGAATCGAACTCAGATTGTTGCGCTTGAGAGGCAGGCAGGGGCACCACTGAGCTAAATCCCCAGCTGGAAGAAATATTTTTGTTGTTCTTACACTGATGAAGAAAATGAATCCAAAATATCTTTTATTACATCTACCAAAAAGGTGGATTTATTTAAGATTAGAAGGAACACAATTTAGGGAAAGTAAACTAATGACTGAAATGAATATTTGTGACCTAGATTAAGTTTAATATCAGTGTAGTCATTTAGAATCATGATAGGGATTAATGCCTTCTCATGCTAGAATTTAAATTACTGAGTAGAATGTAATGATCATAAAAAAGATTCACAATATTTTCTTTATAAAACTATCCAAAAAGGTATCCTTACAATATTTTGACTTTTTCCCTAACCATACATCAAGTGAAAGTGTAAACCAAGGTCCAAGAGAGTTTGGTGTAAAACACAAATCATTGTCTTTTCCAGACTGTGTTTAGGGATTATAGTGTCTTTTAAAATGTATTTTCAGTTACAAAAAGCTCATTGAAAAGCCTGAAAAAGTTAACATGCTCTCAATTTTCTTATTCTAGTTCACAGATGAAGAAATTCACCTAACTTTTAAAAGCCTGGCATTTTTTAGTACTACATTATTAAATGCACCCTTAGATAAACTCATTTCACTACATCTCAGTGGGTTATTTGGGTCATTTCTTTCTATGGAAGGAAATCTAATTTAATAAAAAATAAATTCTGATTGCAATATTAAAAATTTGATTTCAAACATAAATGTTGACACATTTAAATGTCATAATTAGAGGACAAGCATTCTCTCAGATGTTATTCAGAGGCAGTTTCATCCTTTGGGACTTCCTAAAAAGTCCCATCTTGACTAATGACTCAATTCAATATTGTCAACAGACATGTATAGGACATTTACTATGTGTCATAGTCTTTATGAGCCCCTGATGTTACAAATAATAACAAAAGATACAGCTTTCATTTTCATGTAGTTTACAATCTAGACTTCTGGAAAGAAAATGGTGATTATTTAAAATACGAGGTTGTTGACATGTACCATCGTATCGATATGCACAAGAGAGTAAAGAGGAAGGGCCCCAGTTCAACACGGATGGTTTATGGAAGGCTTCTGGAGAATGAGAAGCTGGGAGTAATCAAGGAAAAACGAAGGCATGGGGGCCTGAGACAGCATAAAAAATATGAAGAGTAGATAATTTGGTTTGGCTGCAGGAAGGAGACCTGAATGGTCAAGTGGTGACAGACTAAGGTGAAGAGTCACGCAGGGGCCAAGATTCAGGTGCTCTCTTGGCCCATATCCCAAAGTGATTGGAGACATTGGAGGATTTCAGTTAGCGAGCAGGAGCTACATACCTAGAAGAGAATTTCAGTGGATAATGTCATGGTAGGAACAAGCAGATTTACTATAAATTTTGGAATATGATGATATGAATCCCTATTTAAGGGATCAGTCTTTTTCTCTTCCCGCTCTCCTAGCTTGTGTTTAGGTTTTCAAAGCTTTTGCTTCTTGTTTTGCCTGAAATATTCTAATGTCAACTTTAAGTTCTCTCTTGTGTTATTCCAATTAATTAACTCAATTTGTAATAAAAGATGGGATGTAGGTTGAAAAGGAGAGACTGAATCTTCTCTCAACTCAATCTGATTCAAAATTTTTAAGTAAACAAAATGAAATAGTTTAAAATTTAGTTATCTTTAGGTATACCTAATTTTTATTTTGTTTAGTTTCTAATTTGCTAAAAATCAATGAGATAGTAATATAAAATATAAGATAATTCTTTTTCAAAACCATAATGTCCTTAACTACCTATGCTCTAAATCATAGTGACATCCAGAGAACCATCATGATGACCCATCTTGCCCTGCCACACCAGGGCTTGGGAATATGTGCACCATCAGACCATGCTAATGGAAAAATTATTATTAATGCTAGATTATCAAACCAGTCTACCTGACCTGTAGGATTTACCTTCCCCTAACTCTGTTTAAAAAAAAAAAAAAAAAAAGAAGAAAAGAAAAACCCAGCACATATGTTTATAGGGAGAGACATTATTCAGTCATCTATAGTCACAAAATACTTTCCTTCAATGCTTTAATGCTAACATTTTGTGTTCTCTAATCTCTCACTAGACTGAGTCCATAGTTAAATATATCTTCTTACAAAATTTATTGAGTGCCTATTGTGTACTGCCTGTGTGCTAGGTACAGTATTAGGTACTACACTTGATCCTCTTCTCCCTTTTTAGAGTAGATTTAATAAAAGTAGTATGAACTAAAAATGTAGGAATATACTCCATGTGACCCTTATTGAAAAATAGATGTTAGGTGTTAGTTGAAAGCTAGTAAAATTTTTCTCAAAATTAAAATTAACTTATGCCCAAAGTATAGACCATAAGCACAAACCCACATACACACTGATCAAGTGTACTCCTTTTGGCTCATAGGAATGTAACAGCAGGAAATATTTGTTTGTTTGTTTGTTTGTTTGCAATAGGGTCTCCTATATAGTTAAGACTGGCCTTAAACTCATTTTGTAGAGTAGGCAGGCCTCAAACTCAGTATGATCCTCCTGCCTCAGCCTCCTGAGTGTTGGGATTACAGGCATGTATCACAACCCCCATCCCAACAGAAAATTTTAATTGCCTCAATTTTGCTATTATATTTGTGCTTATTTTCTAGACTTTTCAAAAGACCGATAAAAAATTTAAAAGTGTACATAGATTACCATAACCTATTAACAGCTTAAAATTGTTATCATTTTAAAGTAATTTGTTAGAATTATACTTAGTTTTTTAAAGTAATAAAAACAATGCATGGATAATAAAATCAGAAATTTGTTTATTCAACATACAAACTAATTAATATGTGAATGTACTTTTGTACATGCATTTTTAAAACAAAATAAAATGTAATCTACTAAATTTTAAGCAGCTTGATCCTTTTGGTTAAAATAATTTGGGAGCTGTCACAGCAAAATCCTTAGCATAAAGACAAATTTTAAAGAAAATTGAAATTTTATATCTAGTAATTAGCAGTTTACTTCTTCTATTGCCCTAATAGTCAGCCAAATGACCCCAGAGAATAAATGCATTGCCATCATATAAGAAGGTGCTCCTTTTCCCTGAAAGCATTAATTATAACTGAAATTTTAACAAGATGTAAATCTCATTTTTTACCTCTAGGCTACATAAAACAGTTTTGTAGCACAAAAGCTACATGTCAACATTTTAAAATGTATTATTTATCACAATTCATGATAATTGGCTAGGTTTGCATCACATAACCACACAAAATCATCATAATCAACATTATTGTACTAAACTATAAATTGCTAAATCATAGTGGTTATTTCATGCACTATACATTTGTGCAAAGAGTTGTATGTAGATACAAATAGATAGATTTGACCATTTAATGATTTTTTAAAACATCCATAATATTTAGTCATTTTAGTATGGTTTTATATTTAAACAATGTCATTCATATAATAATTTATAGGTGTAAATGATCCTGCAAATTAAGCGAAATACTCTCTCTATTTATTTCTTCCCTAATGGATTTTTCACAGCCCCATTTGACTATTTTTTATACTCCGTTTTGTACATTTAGATAACCTAGATCATTAGTTTTTAATTGAAAAAAGTATGAATTTTGTAGCAAATATTTGTCTTCCTCCAAATATAAACAAAATTGACATTATACTTTTTCTCTTTCTTTCAAGTTTACATATACTTTAGGAAAAAAAGATTATTTGGGTGCTTCATAAACAAATGTGTTATATATTTATCATATTTAAAGTTCTTATA